ATATTTCATTATTTGTGATTAGGAAATTATGTATTTTGTGTTTCAAGATGGTGACCAATGGTGCAGAACTCCTGTGAGTGATAAGACAAGTGCAATATCTCACATTCTGTATAACTATATCAGTTGAAAGGTTGCACGCGTTGCTGCAGTACGACCCCCGTGTCCCATTTCCTTTGTCCTATAGGGCCGCTGTAGAATCGTCTGGTAGGTACAGTACAGGCCAAAGTAGAGATCCCATAGGATAAGACCGGTAGGAACAGTAGAGTTCCCTCGTAGTCAGTAGGTAGGTAGTCACCATTTGTCCAGTCCTGGTCCAGTTTCAGCTCGGCCCTGGGGAAGGCTCACGCCAGACCGAATCTCTTTCCGCTGCAGGAGAAGGTCATGAATCACTTGGGAGGAGGCAGGCAGATGCACAGAAGTAAGGGCAGGATCTTCCTCTTCTTCGATTCTGGCTTATGCAGAAGTCCTGCTGCGTTGCTGGGCACCAAGGTCTTGGAATCGTCTACAGAGTCTGGTGAGAAGTAGTTGACGGTGCTGGGTTCTATAGCTGTGAGCTTAGCGTAGTTGAGAGTGAAGAAGAGCTGCGAGGACATTCTGAGAGGGATTGCAGGACCTGGGCACAGTAGTTGCTACATTGGGGGGGGGGGGGGAGAGAGAGAGAGAGAGAGAGAGAGAGAGAGAGAGAGAGAGAGAGAGAGAGAGAGAGAGAGAGAGAGACCTGCTGGTCAATGTTGCTGGTGGCCATAGCCGCAGACTTTGAGAAATCAGCTGAGACCCCGGCAAGGCCCACAACAGACCGAATCTCTCTCGGCCACAGCAGGGCCGTGCAGGAGACGGTCAGGACTCAAGTGGGCGGAGACAGGCAGATGTGGTGAATGAGGTGTAGCGCCAGGATGTGTGACACATGTCCAGTTGGGCAATGTGTATGGAGCCAAGGATCCGCAAAGTGATGAAAAGGACTGGAATGGACAATGCAATGTCAACGAAGCATCAACAAGCAATATACATCCCGATACAAACAAAATGGCACAATGTAGCGCAGTGGAGGACTTAAAAGATAGTGGCCTTATCTGAGCCATGGGGTCGTTCTCGACGCTCGGGCGTTGGCTGAAGCGCGCACTGAAGGGGGGAAACCTTTAGCGAGTGCAAAGGCGACCTGAGGGCCTTACCATCTTCTGCACCCTGAGGTGTCCCAAAGGGTGCGGGGTAAGATGGTCCCTAGGGCAGGAAGGAGTTCGGAGCGGTGGTGAGTTGTCTGGCGCACCACCAGCGACACGCTAATCCTTCCGCTCGGAACTTTATCGTTCCACCAAAATAAAATTAARACAAGGAGAAGAAAGAAAACAATAACGTTATCAGAAGAAAACACAGATAAGTTTTTTTTTAAAGGTGAAGGAGTCCCAGTCTGCCCCCCCCAAAAAGGGTGCAAGTGCTCATTTGGTAGGACACACCGCCTTAAAGAAAGAAGAGGGACCTGGGATGTCCTGGAGAAGGACCTCAAATTCTAGGCTCCGGAACAATGTCCGATCAATTAAACCATCGAGGAGAAGGACGATGTGGGCATATGGTCGCATAGCCCCGTATGCCTACGTTAACTCTCACAATATCAGGACAAAGAAAAAGGCAATCACAATCAAAATAAAGAGTTGTGTGATAGTTCACTCTCACGACAGTTGTGTGGTTTGCCCATCTGGAATAAAAAAAAAACATTCACCAAGACTCAATCGAGATTTCTCCACACATAACTGCGATCATACACACAGCATTCAAACGACATCGCACACACTAAAGGAGTCAACTTTTCAGCCTTCTGCAGCTCACACCCTGCCTTATGCACACAAGCCCAATCCTTTTTCCCACCATTCCTTAACAAAGGTCCTCAGTCTTTAAGAAATGGCCATTTATAAAGAATCTGGGTGAAAACCTAAGAAAACATAAAAACCTAGCAAGAGTCAATGCCTTAGGTTGAGAGGCAAAAAAAAATGGAGAGTCGAGTCGTAAACCAACGAATCGGCCACTGACTTATTATCAGTGATAACAAAACAGTGATCCTTCAAAGGATCAGGCCGAACCAGTTAAGCCTTCAAGCGAAATACGGAAACCTGCATTACAGTACAGGCAAAAAAAAAACCACTAATATGTCCATGCCAAAAGGAGAGTGTTTCCCAATTCGTAACCTATATCCTCTACTAATCTCATTGTCAGTTCCCCGTACTAGTACCAAGTCACTGAGCATCTCCTCTCTTCAGATTGGATTTGCCAAGTAACTCCTAGCTAAAAATATTCTAACTCCTCAAATTCTACGAAATTTCGACAGCGCTTCCCTTAGCAAAAGTGCCTTCTCACAATTTYTAAGAGTCTAAAAATGACYAAGTCTTTCAGATCTGTAGAAMTTTCGACAGCGCTTYCCGTAGGAACAGGAGGCTGCCAAARWTTATACAAAGCTGAAAACAGAAAGACAATGCAAAGCCATACTTRGGACKAACTTCTGACACTTGCTTGATAGTTAGGATTGAAGATAGTTTACACGACCTCCTTTCAGAAAATGGTATCGTGAGCTACCGTCAACTCTGACTTCAAGTAAGGTCAGTCCTATCTTTATCCCTAGCTCTCCCTCTCATCATTCATCTCATCTACCTATCGCTCCAACACTCGGCGAGCATCTAAGCAGCTAACATATCGAAAAGACGCCCCAGAGTGAGAGTCCACCAACATGCATAAACAAACATCTCTCACAATCCCACATCAGTTTAACGCAAGTAGTTCGTTAGATCACTCAGTTTTTCTCCCTTTGTATGTCCCCCTTGCTTATGGCATACGATCAGACAATGCCATAACCTAAGGGTCTGTCCAACCTGCCTAAATAAACAAGCAAAAGTACGCACAACTGGACTACCCTAACTTAAGGGTATGTCCAACACAGCATCGACTCTAGTCATAAAACATATGACCAGACCGCCCTAACTTAAGGGTACATCTGGCTTCTGCTTAACTGACGACATGAAGCATAAAACTAGATTGCCCTAACTTAAGGGTATGCCTAGTCAGCTCTAGACAAAGTTACGTAGGGCATAGGATTAGGCTGCCCCAACTTAGGGGCGTGCCTAACCTGCCTAAAACAAGGACGGACGACAAAAGGTCGGACCGCCCTAACTTAAGGGTACATCCAACCTACATAACATCAATGACAAGAGCATATCGCTAGGCCGCCCCAACTTAGGGGTACGCCTAGTTAGCCTAAACAGTTTAAGTTACAATAAGGCAAAAGTGACCAAACTGCCCTAACTTAAGGGTACGCCTGATCTGCCTGAACAAAGTACAAATGACGTACGACTAAGCCACCCTAACTTAAGGGTACGCTTAGCCTCTGCAACGACAGTTCAAACAACCACGAATATTTTTGTACGAACTTAATAATTTTCTTTCTTCTTAGGCAGATGATCAGACCTACCCAACTTAGAAGACATCCAACCATGCCTTGTGTTTAAAAGGGAAAATAAAAGAACATTTCTACTAACTCTCTGCTCCTTTATATTATCACGAGCATAAGACTGAACC